AGTTTTCTTTTTCTTTTCGTTTTCCTTCAACCTTCTACCGGTTTGACCCGTTCGTAACTTTCAGGTAAGACTAATATTGAACCAAAATCTAACAACAAGGTCTGGGTGGTGTAGTTGGTTATCACGCTAGTCTCACACACTAGAGGTCCCCGGTTCGAACCCGGGCTCAGACATTTTGTCATTTTTAAACTATTTCGGCTTTTTTGGCTGTAAATGGGCCTACGAATAAGCCCATGACCCCAAAAAAAAAAGGCGTGCGCTTAGTCTCACACACTAGAGGTCCCCGGTTCGAACCCGGGCTCAGACATTTTGTCATTTTTAAACTATTTCGGCCTTTTTGGCTGTAAATGGGCCTACGAATAAGCCCATGACCCCAAAAAAAAAAGGCGTGCGCTTAGTCTCACACACTAGAGGTCCCCGGTTCGAACCCCGGCTCAGACATTTTGTCATTTTTAAACTATTTGGGCCTTTTTGGCTGTAAATGAGCCTACGAATAAGCCCATGACCCCAAAAAAAAGGCGTGCGCTTAGTTCATTTGAGAGTCAAAACTCGGAAGCGATCGTGGGTTCGTTTGCAAGGCGAGGTGGTGTTGGTGCGACGGAGGAGAATCGAAAATCGCAGGATGAAGAAGGAAGACACAGTGAAGCTGATTAGCGCTGAAGGTTTCGAATTCGTTATTGATAAGGAAGCCGCTATGGTTTCACAGACCATACACAACATGCTTACCTCTCCAGGTTGCTTTTCTTTTTTCCATCGTTGTTAATAATTATTCCATTTATTTATGCTGTAAAATTAGGGTTCCGCTCATTTCACTCTTCTCATCATCGTATTGATAGGGAGTTTCGCTGAGAGGCAGCACGGCGAGGTTACCTTCCCTGAGATCAGCACCACCATTCTCGAGAAGATTTGCCAGTATTTTTACTGGCATCTACAATTCGCCAGGTATTTACTCCTGACTTCACGGAATTTAATGTGAATCTGTTGTATGAGATTTTTTCATGAATGCTTGCTATACTGTATCAGGAGCAACCTATACTCGAAAAAAATTATATATTCTGTTGATTTTTAGATCCGTGATCCATGATTTTATTGTTGAAAATGTCAACTTGGGGGAAATTTTGTGTAAGTAGGGAAATTCAAATTGAAATTATTAACACTCCCTTTACCTGACCAGCTAAACTGTGATTTTGTTATCCTGGTTCTAGTAGGACATTTGATTTTTGCTTTGTGCCTATCATTGTGTGATCCTTCTGTGAAGTAGGATTGATTCTCAATGAGCAAGGAGGTTTTTACTTTGTTTAACTATTTGATTCCAAGAAGCGGCCATTTGGATTTTATTTTTACTACATAGATTTGAAGTTTATGTATTAGAGTCTGGGTTTTGTTGAATTCTGTGCTCCATTGAAGAGATTTTGTTCTACATGATTTTATGTAGTATGACTGTGTGGTTGCGCTTTTCATCATGTGTACTTTTTTATCATTTTACTTTCTCTTATCATCCGTTTAAAATATTTTAATATTACTAGACAACTTGAAAATATGAAATACTACTGAAAAATCGTGTTGCTAATTGAGTTGGCCCTTTATAACTGGTATATTGACCTACTCTCTATTCCAACCAGCATGAGTGTTAGTCTTTTTGATGTGTTGCAATGGAATCTATATTTTGCTTTAGGAAGTAATTGAAATCTCTGTAGCTCTGATCTGAAACCTCTTAATTCATGCCATGCTATTTTCTACAAATATAGTTCTATTGACTTGAAGTGAATATGTTGCTGTTAGTGGGAAAGAGACAGAGTTTCCTATTGAACCTGAATTAACTTTGGAGCTAATGATGGCTGCCAATTACCTCCATACATGAGCATTTCCTGGGGGTAGAAGCTCTCCATTCTCATTGTAAGCCTTCATTATTCTATGGGATTTTAACAAATTCATATGTATAATAGTTATTTTTGTTAATGTGGTGTTAGTCTTTGTTGTTTTTATCTCACCATTGTGTCATTTATGCAGATGGAGCTGTTACTCAGCAGAACTTTCATATAGATGTGACCTTATAATTTGCTACCATTGGAAACTGTATCTTTTCTGGAACTATAGTATGTATGTAATATGTGTAATCTAATGGTCATAGGACTCAGCTTGAAAAACTGCTACATGAGAGTGTGGCTATTAGATGCTTTCTGTCAATGATACTATACTGTGTACATGAACTGAATTCAATGAAAATGCTAATTCAAAGTGAGCATTAGTACTATCTCCAAATATAAGGAAATTCATGCCTTTCTTATTCTCAGTTAGGTCGTCCATAAGACAACAACAGTGATGCAAAGAAAACATTGCTATCCAAATAAGGTAAAGGATTTCCCTTGCTTAATGCATAACAAAGGCGTGGAGTACTAAAGTGGTTGAAAATGAAAGGGAACATCTCCCTCTTGATCCGAAAATATTTGTCCTTTTCCATATTCTGTTGAACCAATACAAATATATCTGAATTGTTTTCTTCTCCCCATGCCCACAAGAATATGTTGTAAAATGTTACTATTCTGTCGACATTTCTGTCGACATCTTAAGATATTGGAAATCCAACTTAGGTGTAACTCTATTTTCAATTTTCCTTTCATTTTTCAGTCTCTCTTTTTCTTTTCTTTGTTTTCTCCTCCTTTTAGGTACACCGCTATCTAATTGTTTAGGTGCACAAAATCCTCCCACGTTTCTCATTCTAGCACTTCTCTACCAGTATTTATGGTTAGAATCATAGTAAAGTTATCAGAATCCGATACTGACCTATTGTAAGGGTGCCTACTGCCTAGGCCAGAATTTAACGCAGATTTTTTTTTATTCTAAGGAAAACTCCATACAGAATTAATTCTTGTGCAGCCCCTTTTAAAAAATTTCAAAACTTGCACAGGGAACTGAACAGTGGTGCATTACTGTAAGAATAATTTGTTAATAAATTAAGAATAATTTGTTTGACTTCAGAAAAAAGAAAACGCAGATTAATTGCCAAACAATAAGCAGCTTCTTTTTTTCCCCTACTTTTTTAATTAACTGACTGTTGATATTGACAAAAATGGTCATCACTATTTGCACTTGAAATGCAAAGAAAAAGCCGTTCATATGCAGCAACCATCTTGGTGGCAGTGAACAATTTCAAACCTCTTTGGCGAGCAACCTGACCTTTATTGTGTAGAACTTCCCTTCCATCAACCCATGACTCATATATAACCTTTTTTAGAGCATTCACTGTTGGTGAAAATGTATAACCCATTTCACTGCCAACAATCACAGAGCCTACAATGCTTGCAAGCCTTGTAGCCATTACCGGCTTCCCACTCAACATTGCTTCTATCAAAGTGTGATCCAAACCCTGTGCTCTCAAAGTGGGGTTCACAAATAAGTCAATAGCATTATAGAATGAGGCCAGTTCAGATTGTTTAAGAGGCCCCAGAACCACTACATTTTCCCCAAGTTCTCTGTACCTTGCTGCCCAAGGACCATCACCAGCAACCATAATGATGCTACTCTCTTGGAATGTGCTGTTTTCTGCCATTATCTGCTTCAATGCTTCAAACATCAAAGGGTGTCCCTTATCCTTCACCAATCTCCCAGCCAGTCCTATCACCAGTGATTTAGAATCCGGAACACCATGCCTCTTTTTGAACTCCTTCCCGGCCGAAATATCCGGCCTGAAAACATCTTCGTCCACGCCGTTTAGTATTATGTGCACCCTTTCTTCTGGGATCATGTAGACCCTCTTTAGGATATCCCCTGCATGATCACTGGTGGCAATGTGGTGAGCATAATTTGGGAAGAACTTCACCTCCTCAACAACCTTGTTAACTCTTTCAGCCAATGCATTTGCCTGTGATTCTTGGGGGCTTCTTAGAAGTTCTTGAATGATGTCAGAATGAATCGTCTCGTATGCAATACCGTGCCAACTAACAGCCAATTTAGTGACATTCCGCGATCGAGTGTACCTGAGGCTAACACTTTCAGTGTGAACAATGTCAAATGGTGATCCTGTTTTGTTCTCTGCCTGAAACTGTTCCCAAACTGAAGCTTGGTCAAGGTAACCACCTGGTGTTGGTTTTGTGAAGTGAAAATACAAGTTTCCAAGTTCAGATTTCGGGATAACAGAGGAACCTGCTGGTGAAGTAGTGGTGAATATGTGAAGTTCATGGCCTCTTCTTGCAAGAGCAATGTGGAGCGTCATAGCATGGCGTTCGAGGCCTCCGGCATGAGATCCTATAGGCCATTTCTTGACAAAGAGTGCAATCTTGAGAAGCTTTGAAGGTGGGTTTGATGAGAAGATAAGGTGGTTCCATGCAAAAGGGTATGAAAGGAGATTAATCATGGTTTGATTTTGCTTCTGTTCTGTTACTTTTACATGGTATGGTGAGAAATAACAGTGGCTCCAAGATTGGAATATGATGAGAGAAGAGAAAGAAAGGGTGAAAAGGATGTAGCAGATATAACGAAAGCTGAACATAGAATTGCAAGTTCTATTGTCCTTTGCCATGAACATATCTGAAAAAGAGAGTGAGACTAGTCATATTATGGTAGGTTTAAGACTTTAAGTGATGATCATTTTTTAATAATTAGTTTTGAAAACACGCAAAGGGGAGACATGAAAGTGAAAATGAAGAAACGTAATCACATGCACACATGTTCTCCAATAATTCATTATTCACTACAAGCTCCAAGACTTTTTACACTTGCTTGAACGCCAATGTTGCTTCACCAAAATCTCCTACATCGATGTAGTTTTAAACTTATAATTAATTCACCGAACCCACAAAATGCCGAGGATCGAACCCGGGTCGTCCGGGTGACAGGGGGAAATACTTACCACTATACTACAACGACTTTGTTGTTAGAGATGTTGATTATCTGCATAAAGTAAGTAATATTAACAAAGAGGTGGAAACTTGTCTACATAACCTTCAGTTTGAAGTTTATATTTTAAAATTGTTAGATAATGACTTAGTCAAATACGTCAAACAATCTCATGGTTAACGATAACAACTTAACCTGAAAATCGATTGTATGTGAGTATTCACCATGAGTCTAACTTATCTTTAGGTTATCACCATTTTCACAGTGATTTTGACTTGGGGAGCAAAGTAACACTAAATTTAGTAAGAATTAAGAAACGACAGAAATGCACAAACTCATCATGTGTTACAAACTTACAACCTTACAATGCGTCATTGAAAGCGAAGGACTTCTGGAAATAATACACATATATTTTTTTAAATAGCTTATAAACCGTATAGCTCACAAATTGTGTTATATTGACTATTGAATATATGAATTATTAAAGTTATCCAAACATAAGCTCATAATAATTGAATAATTCCGTGATATATATTTGCTTTCAATTTGGTGAGTATTCATTCTATTTTATTTATTTTTGTGTGTGGTTGACTGGTTGCCATAATGAAACGCAATACTCTCCGGAGTTTGAAGAGGCAAAGCTGCAACTCGTTGTTGTGTCTTCTCTAATTTCTTGCAAATGAAATAATGGTACACCAAATCAACTGAAATTATTAAAACAAGTTAAAATGGGGGTGTGATCGATTTGTTGGAAGTGGTTAGCATGTAATGTTTATGGAGGCAGGTTGGGGTTGTAGGCTTTGCAGCAAAGTCCAACAAATGGCTGTTGAGTAATATTAATACAGGTAGGATAAATATACCGTCCAACTACTAAACCCAACATATATCAAATTTAAAAAAATAAAATAAAATAATTGATATCTTGTTACAAAATCTCTTATGAGGATGGAGATGTTGATATGAATGAGTGGCATACGCGATTAGATAGAACAAGCAATGAAGAAACAAAGAGAGAGTTTGGACACGTAACAAGAAAATCGACAAAACACTCAGGTAGAAGGATGAATGAGATGAGAAGTAACAGATTAAAAGAAAAATAAAATCCTAAAAAGCCATTCATAAAAAAAGTTAAACGAAAATGTTTTTTCTTTAGGTATATGTATATATGTTGTTGTTACAAAATCTCTAATATTTATTTTAGGATTTTGCTAAATGTACACTAAAATCAGCCACCAGTATATAATACATATTGAAATATAAAATACATATATAATTTAACTCATTTTTAATGCATATCTTATATTTCAATTGGTGGGTAATTTTAGTGACTGATTTTGGTGTGCAAATAGAATTTTTGATTATTTTATTATAAAATCTAAAAAATATTGAACCAAATATATATGTAAGCCTGCTCTTATAGAATTAAATTCCCAAAGTCTCCGTTTTCTTAACTTACTCCCCTGAAAGGCTCATATACACATACAACTAACCCACCACTTGTTTTTTTTCTAAAACCTTAAATAAGCATCTCTGACTCACAGGCCTAAACAATTAGAAACCCCAAAACACAGCACACACTAACCAATCATTATAGGATAGCCCCCTCCTTCTTCTTTTTCTTTTTTCTTCTTCTCCATGCTCATGCCATAATAACAAATCATCATCATCAGCTTCATCTCTTGTGATTATTATGGCTGGTGACACGTCACTACCTCCTCATCCTCAACAACAAGAACAAGAACAAGAATACAACCACAATAAGGATGACGATCTAATCGCAGAGCTAACTCACCACATGGATCGCTTCTTGCTCCAAGATCATCACCATGATGATCACATATACGATTTCTCATCTTCCAATTCACAACTCGTAATGATCTTCTTTCTTATTTATTAATTAGTAATTACTAATTACTCCTCTCTCACTTTGAATAACTCTTCTTGTATGGTGATTGGTTCAGTCATGGGACTTGATGGGTTCACCGCAATCAACTCTGTGGTCACCTCTGCCATCATCTGAAGCTTCCTCTCAAGAACCATCGCCACCACCTACACCCGCCTCCTACCAATCTCTCATCCAGGAACAAATCAGAGCCATTGAAGTAAGACCATACATCACGTGTTCTTTAATTTGATTTGATTTGATTAATTATTATTATTATTGCTCTGCTAATTAACTTGCTATGCATGATTAAACAGTTGACTCGGTTAAAGCAAGAGCAGATTCTTCCAATGAACCAGAAACTGATGACTGAATCTGAAGAATCTTTATTGTGTCAGCAGAAGAAAGGTAAAGCTGGAGGTGGCGCCGCCCTTGGAAGGAGGGCTCGTCCGCCTCCACGCCCAGCTCCTCTGCTTCTGCAGCAGCCGCAGCAATGTGGTGGTGGAGGCATGAGGGCACTATTCCTTGGCGCCCCCGCTTCTAGAGGGGGCACAGGAGTTTTCTTGCCTCGTGCTGCTGCCGCCGCCGCCGCCACTCCCCCACCACAATCAACCACCAAACAAGGTAATTACATCATTCTTATATATCTTTTCAGAAATTTCATGTAAACTAATCAATGGTTTTGAATTTTATTTTCTTTTATCATGATAGATTAAACCATAAGTAAGGGTAATCAGAAATGTGTGGTTTTAGTTCGTTATAGAAAGTTCTTTCTTCATCTTTCTTTTCTTTCTTTATTTTCTTTTTGTATATTTATTAAATCAGTTATAATATTTGTAAATCAAAATTAATCATTAATATATAATATATATTAAAAATAATAAAATTATATATATATTTTATATAAATACTTAAAATATATGGTGATTAATTTTATTGTACTAATTAAATTATTATCAAAATTAGTTGTGAGAATTACATGACACTTTTATTTTCTTTATTTTTTCTTCCATGCGGTTGTTATTATTATTTATTAGTATAAAATTCACCATAATTATGATTTATGGATGTGAGTGCACTGCATAGAAATTTAATGTATATTTTATTTTGATATATAGTTGATGATGATAGATCTGGTTCATTCACTTTAAGATTCTGTGTCCTTTCCCAGTGTTGTGTCGGTTTCCTTGTTGTTCAACTAGGTTAGTGAAATGGAATATGAACAAGAACTATTCCTCTTTTTTAAATATTATTATTCCATTCAATTTTCAATTTTGTATATAGGAACTAGTAAAGTGACTTTTATCTTCAAAAGATTTTGATCATAGTTTCCTCCCCTAAGAAGATCTATAGTGTATAGTGTGGGAAATTGCCACTTTGCATGGTAATAGTGACCAAATATTCTCTTTTCATGGAGTTTGAACTAACATGCTTGATCCTTCCCTGATTTTCTTTCGGCAAAAGTAGATGCTCTGCTAATTAATACCAAAACTCATTACTTTACGTCATTTAATTTGTTAAAGCCATAACAATCATGATAACATTAAAAACTTTCTTTAAATTTTTTTAAAAATAATACTAGATAATAAATACAAATTCAATTAATGTCAGTCAATAATTTAAGTTAAATGTTTTATTATTCTATTTCTAAAAGAATATAAATTAATCAATTATTAATTTTTTTTGGTTAATTACGATACTTTCTCTTAATTTAATTTGATGGAAATTGAAGAATTTGAATGGTAGCAGGTAAAGGGTGCTCCACAGTTCTAATACCAGCAAGAGTGGTACAAGCTTTGCAACAACACTTTGACCAAATGGCTGCCACAGCTGGACCCAAAGCTGCTGCTTCATTCCCCCCACTCCATGGTAACCCTACATACCCTAATTATCAAGCAACCATTTTTCTTCTATATGCTTGCTTAATTAATTAATTCCCAACCGTCTAGTAATTAATACTTAGTTATCACTACTTATTAATATCAGCTCAACTGTATACATGCTTACTTTGATTTGTATCAAGTTAATTAATGTGGAAATCACTATAAAAAGACAAACACAGCCGCGTATCCTTTGATATAGGAAATCCTGGTACACCAAAATCAATCACCAAATCACTCATCAATGTGTAGTACGCATTTAAATACAATATATATATATATATATATATATTTAATTTATTTTTAATGTATATTTTATATTTAAATATATATTATATACTACTAGCTAATTTTAGCGTACAAATAAAATTCTAGCTTTAATTTTAATATATAGGGTGTCCCAATATCATCATGCTACTTACTATATGATGCTTAATCAATGGCAGATAGCCATTTAATTTCCCCTTTTTCCTTTTTTTGGGTGCTGGAGATACGATTTTATTTGACTAATAATAGTGAAAAATGTGAATTTTGATTTTGCAGATGTTATAGTGAATAGTAATAGGGATGGCATGTATTCACTTGAGAAGCGGCAGTCACGGGAAGCACCGATTCAGAATGAAATGATTCTGCCTCAAGAATGGACCTATTAATTAGTGAACACCCACATTCACATGCCATAATCTTAATCATAATCCTCTGTTTTATTTGGCAGGTTTTGCCTAAGCAAGAAATAAAATTATTATTATGCAAATTAAAGAAAAGGAACTCTCCTCTCGGAGGGAATCTTTTTTCAGATGCAATTGTGAGATTAGGAATCATCATCAATAATCAATAATAATAATAATATATTTTGTTTTAGGTAGGGTATAAGGTACTCAAGAGGCGTGACACACAAGAATACAGAAAAAAAAAATTATGTAAAATAATAATAAGGTGTAGCTCTCAGCCTGTATTGTATTTTATTGTATTTTATGGGTAATCAAATTCATAAGCTGCTGTGTTGTCTCTTAACGGAGGATGTCTTTTTTTTAAATCCTTTGTAAAAATAAATAAATAAATAAGAATTCATCAGCTCAAGTTGTGGCAGATTATGCTTCCTTCATCTTGTTCTTTAATTTTCTTTCCTTTTCGGCAGGCCATTATATATAATATTCTAATATGTCGTTAGTATGGTGCAATTGTTTCTTTCATTGACATAGTTAAGCAAGCTCCTCCTTAATCCATATTATACAGTTGTAGTGTCAGGAATCAAGTTGGGGAGATACAGATT